TGCGTGGCAGTCGCGACTTGACCCAAACCCAGGGTTACACGCCAAGGGATCAAAAGCGCGCTAGCACGTGATCAGACGTGTCACCACCTGCAGTGCAGCTCGCGAAGAGGAACGATAACTGACAACGCACTCCCCCAAGACCCTCAATGGTCATGCATACAGCTGACTGCATCTCTTGATCGTGCACTGTCAGGCCGAGGCTGCGTTGCTCTGACGGCGACATCTGCTAGTGACGGGCCCATTCCTCAAGCTGAGTGAGAATCACCATCACCTACTTCACCCTTTCGGGACATCCGCCAAGGTACTCTTTGACTATTATGCACGTATGTCTGGGATTAGCGACGTTGCCTTCGACTTTGGGACGGTCATCCCGGTGTGCCACGCCGAAATGCTGCGAGGCCACCTGGGTTGGCACTCGCGTGGGATGTGAGTAAATATCATTGTCTCCAAAAGAAGCAGTTGGTAGCGGAGCATTGCGCCGAAATCGAAGATCTTTCAGACCCTGAAGGATTCGCTTTCGCTATTTCAATTCCTCCCGCGTTCGAGATTGATCTAGCGGCCAGATCAAAGCTTTACACTCGCCACACTGACCAATCACTGAGAACGTTTCCTTCTCCTGTACGCTGATCCGATATCCGGTGCATCTACGTTTAGTGAGAAACTGCGGGCATCGAGAACTAGAACGGTCCGATTTTGACCCCACTTTCAGGGACATAGAGCAGCTGCAATGCCGCACATTGGGTACTTCACCGGTGCTCTTTCCGGGCTCACACACCTAGGGTAAGCCGGTACGCTACCACAAACAACGCACCAACTCACTCAATTCTCATCCGAGTTATACACGCCACATTCATAGTCTGGACATCAAGCTTGCAAAGCCACTTGAGAATACAGCGTGGTCTTGACTTCCCCAGTGGCGAGTCTGTATTGCCCGGGCAGCTTCCTCACGACACATTTGCTGGACACCGCCCTTTCTGTCGCATTGCTACAATCGCATCTTTCAACATGCGCTGAGACCAAAGCATCTACCGAGTATCGTACCTTAACTCTAATCGCCTATTTTTCGTCTATGTCCCGTCGAGGGTTACTACCACCCATTCGGAATGCCGTCGGCCGAGCGCTCCACTACGCGCCTGCTGGACCTAGAGGATCTGGAGTCTGACGCCGCACCACTTTTCGTCATCAAAGCTGGTGAGACCGCTCTGGGTTTCGAGTTTATCTTCTGCAATGAAGCGTTCCGCAGACTCCCTCTGTGCAACTCCATCTTAGCCGAGGAAAGAGCCTCACTCCTGTTCCGCTCATGGGCGCAAGCACTGGGTGAATACAAACCTCGATATGAATTCGGTGGTCATGTTTGGACTGCGGAATTGGCAGGGAGAAACGGTGGCTTCAAGCTAGTGAGAGCGACAGGATCCGACGCGCAGCAGCAAGAAGCGCCTTCGTTGGAGGAAGAAGCAGACGATGACGATCATCTCACTATGAGTCGAGCGCCAGTCTTTACACGATCAAAAGCACAGCTCATCAATGACCTCAAGCGCGATAGATCAATATCGTTGAAAAATATCCCGTACACAAACCTCCACGCCAGATGGGAAAGTATTCAGACCATGATGGAGATGAGCGATGTTGGGGTGTTTGAGTATAATGCAGAGGGAAAGCTCTTGCATGCCAATGAGGCATGGTATAGATTGAGGTAAGTACAACGACAAATGATGTTTCACGTCATTGACAACTCCCAGCTCCCAACCCAGAAACGTCAACCCTGATGAGTTCTCATTCATGGACCTTGTCTACCCCGATGACCAAGCACTGGTAATGTCCATGTGGAATAAGCTTTCGCAGGGAAAATCCGTTACGTTCGAGATGCGATGGAAGGCACGCTCAGGAACGAAAGGCGCCGCGCAATGGGTACTTTCGGCTTGTGTTCCGGTCTTCGATGATGACAAGAAATTGATCGGTATTGCCGGCAATACCGTAGACATCAACGCACAAAAGAAGTCCCAAGAGGCAGCACAAGCACAGGTGTAAGATTGATCAGCAGCATGCATGATTCAGTCATACTAAATACATCTCTAGGGAAGCACTCGAACAAGCGCGACTGGCAGAGATGAAATTCGCGCGCTTTGCCCAAGTGTCCCCTACCGCTATATACGTATACATACCTGAGAGTGGTAAGCTAGATTGCCTCATCGCAAAGTACTTGCTAATATCGATATAGGCATGAACTTCGTCAATGATCAGTTCTTCGAACTGACGGGCCATCCGCGTGGCCCAGTCAGTCAATACGACTGGTTTGACCTCATCGCTAAGGAAGATGTTGAAAAGGTCAAGAAAGGTTGGGAGAACATGCTCACGAGCGGCAAAGCCAAGGGAATACAGTTTCGTTTGAACAAAACCTGGGTCAACCAAGATGGTATTCGCTCGAATATATGGGTGCAAAGTTCAAGTTACCCAGAGCTGGACGAGAACGGCAAAGTGATAAGTAAGATGGTGACTTTCTGCATTCTTCATCACGCATATGCTAATCCCTATAGGCATTATGGGGACATTATTCGACATATCACAGTTCAAGTGGGCTGAAAGCGTTCAGCGGCGCCGCATCGACGAAGCGCTGGAAGCAAAACGACAACAAGAAAAGTATTTCACTGTGCGCTCTGCAATCGACTCTTGTTGACAAGTCCAGCTTCATTGACATGACTTCGCACGAACTCAGGAGTGAGTAACGCCTATGCACGAGCTATATGAGCCACCGCTAACGTCGTATGCCAACGTCTAGATCCACTGTCGGCAGTCATACAATGCGCCGACTCCGTTATCGCTTCGCTCCAACAACTATCCAGACGCCAAATCATAGCATCGAAAGATCCGTCCGAAACATCCAAGGCAGAAGCAGAAGTTCAGAGCTGCATTGAATCGCTGTTGATCATCGTGTCATGTTCGATGCACCAAAAACGCGTTATTGACGACGTGCTCACCCTGTCGAAACTTGATTCTAACTTGATCTTGATCACGCCAATGCGCGTGCAGCCCGCGGTGGTCGTGTCGGATGCGGTGCGCATGTTCGACGTCGAGTGCAACCAGGCGGGCATCAAGCTCGTTTTCCTCATTGATGAGACTTTCAATGGCATGGATTGGACGATGCTTGACCCCTCACGCCTCTTGCAAGTCCTCATCAATCTACTGTAAGATTCTCATCTCCATGTCGCATACCCTCCGCTAACAATACCAGAACCAACGCCATTAAATTCACCAAGGACCGCCCTCAAAAGGCCATCACCGTCACTATCGGTGGCTCCTGGACCCGTCCACCTAAGTGCTGGAACGAGATAACCTTCACCGACGATGAGAAGCCCAAGACAGACATCACCGACAAAGCCGAATGGGGCGAAGGTAAAATAGCATTCCTCTGGCTGAAGGTCAAAGACACCGGCTGTGGTATGACCACAGACGAGCAAAAGAAACTCTTCTCCCGATTCTCGCAAGCCACGCCGCGCACGCACGTTAAATACGGCGGTTCGGGGCTCGGTCTCTTCATTTCCAAATCGCTTACGAAGCTACAAGGGGGTGCCATCGGCGTCCACTCCGAGAAAGAGCAAGGCTCAACATTCGCATTCTTCATCAGCACGCGCCTCGCGCACCCACCAGCCGACCAAGTCTCCGCTCGCGCAGTTCAAGCTCGCCCCGTCCCTCGTCGTACCATGACAGGCGAAGAAGCCATGCAATCGATCAGACTCAACGTACTCATCGTAGAAGACAACCTCGTAAACCAAAAGGTGCTTAGGAAGCAACTGCAAAAGTTCGGCTGGAACATCAGCGTCGCCGGTAACGGCCAAGAAGCGTTGGAATGGCTCAAAGACAGCGTATACTGGCGCAACGAGGAAGACAGTTCCAAGCCGGAGAAAAGAAACGACCTCGACATCATCCTCATGGACATAGAAATGCCCATCATGGACGGTCTCACCTGCGCCCGCCTTATCCGCGACTACGAACACCAGGGTCTTCTTGCTGCACCACCAACGCCGGGGGTACCATCGTCGGGGCGGAATTGTCATAAGAAGACGTCGTCTACGTCTTCGGCGTCGCATGAGCGGCCGGACAAGCAATCGCTCCGACTGCCTATTCTGGCTGTGAGCGCGAATGCGCGTATGGAGCAGATTGAACAGTCGCTGGCGTCGGGGATGGACGATGCGATTTCGAAACCTTTTCGGATTCCGGAGCTTTGGCCGAAGATTAGGGGGTTGGTTGGGAGGGTGGCGGATGCGGATACGAAGGTTAGGTCGTGATTCTGCTTGTGCATTGGGATTGGGAGGGTCTGCATACAAGTGGCGTTGGGTAGATGTATAAGCATGGATGCGGCGTTTGGTAGGAGTACGAATGCAGTGGTTTCGATTATTATAAACATGGTATGCAGGAAGGTGCCATGCGACAGAGTGTGCGATACGTAAGTCTACATTGTGTCTACATGCCTTCAACCACGGCGTCAGAATATGAGCTTGATTCGTTGGACCACTCCTGACTGCATGCTCTCCGCGACCCAATGAAGAGCTATGTACCGTCTCATAAGATGCACATGAATCAGTATAAGGCTGTGGTTTCCTTGATAGGACAAGATATTGATGGCCTTGGAAAAGCGCATTTGAAGCGTACCGTGTAGACGTGTGGTCCCATGGACACCCATTCTGAACAACTGTTACCCCGACTGTGCACATCTTCCAACTATTTGCCCGCCCCGACTTGGCGATGCATCGAGTTTACTAAGCTAGATGCTTAAGTCCGATGCATCGTGTAAGCTCAGTCAGCGTCTCGTACTCTGCCAAGACGATCGAAAAAGCGCAATAGGAAAGAGTAGTAAAGCAAACAGCGCTTCGAGCCAAGAAGGCGTAGGAGACCTAATGCATATGTTGCAAGATATTGATGCCTTTGATGATGTGAGAATAGATAAAGCCTGCGCATGTTGACGGCGTTCTGGTGACCTACAGTCATTTTGCCCATCCTCCAATATGAAGCTCGCCAGCATCATTAGCGCTGTTGCATTCGCTATACCACAGCTTACGTTCGCGCAATTATCGAACTTCGACGACTGGGAACACGAGCGCATCCAGCTCGACGACGTCTCGATCCACTTCCGCTACCACGGCGAAGGACCGCCCGTCCTCCTCGTGCATGGATTCCCCCAACACTCACTAACATGGCATACCATCGGTCCAATCCTGGCTCAGAACTGCATGTCTTCGCACATCTTCGGTAATGAGAAAGTGAACTGCTAATATGACAGCAGATACGGTAATCGCCCCAGATATCCGCGGATGCGGAGACTCGTCTATTCCCACTTCCAAGAACTACACCGCTGCAGCCGCGGGCGCAAACCTCAAAGCCATCTTAGACTACCTCAACATCACATCCACATACGTCTTTGCGCACGACAAGGGTGTAGGGCTGGCGACATCCCTCGCTATCGAACATCCTTCGCTTGTTAAAGCTATCATACTCGCTGAATACGCACTCCCAGGATATGGATATCCCTTAACAGTTCAGAGTCCCAGCTTGTACCAGAACTGGCAGCTGGCCTTCTTTGCCGTGTCTGATGCAGCCGAGTTCTTTATCCGAGACCGCGAGAAACAGATGTTGAGTTGGTACTTTTTCCACGCGAGTTATTCCGGTACGGCGGCCGTGAGTGAAGACCACTTGCAGCGGTATACGAATGAGATTGCGAAGCCGGGGTTTTTGAGGAGCGGTATGGAATACTTCGCAGCGGCGTGGGACGACGAGGCGTACTTTACTTCTGTGTTCGGCAGTGGACATAGGTTGCAAATGCCGTTGTTGGCGCTGGGTGGTGAGGCGAGCTTTGGGCCTGTGTCGCTGTTGGAACAGGTATGGTCGCAGATCGGCGATGACTTTGTTGCTGAGTTGATTCCGAAGGCTGGGCACTGGATTGGTAAGACCTTTTTCTTGAATAGCATCTCAGCTATAGCAAAAGGGCTAACGACGTACAGGCGATGAGAATCCGATTTGGACTGGTAATCGCGCCTTACGCTTCTTTGAAGAAGCTGGGGAGGTGAGCAGTGTTGATCTGTCCTACCTTAAAGATCAAGTGACTCTGCAAGGTGGTACCATTTGATGAAAGGCGATCGCAATATTTCAAGATCGCGATTGGCACAGGAAGGGTCTGGGGAACGAGTAGAAGAAGTGTTCGGTATCGCTCTAAAGTGGCATTGGCATCATGATGTACTAGGGCTTCCTTCAAGCCCACTGCGACGGCGAAAATCTTGCAACCAATTCGGGTTGTCTGCTACTGTTTGGTTCCACTAGCGTACATGTTAGCATTTGTCTGGTATACAATAGGTCGTTTCGCTTCCTCACCGCATCATCCGCATCCTGGTATAACAACCTCCGCGACTCGCGTTGAAACATCTCATCCGTCGGTATAATACCCGACAACATCTGCTGTCTCGCAAATCGACTAAGATGGCGCGTCAAAACCTTCGCAAAGTCATAATCGTGCTGCGTAGAAAGGTTTCGGAGAGCTTCCAAAGAGTCTTCGAAAGCTTGATGGTCCGGTGTCTGGGTAACCTCTTTCGGAGACTCTTGGACTGGCTCTTCTTCCCGTTGATATTCTTCCCGTTGGATCTGCGAAATCATTTGCTTTGTATGATCGATGGATCCGGGATTCGTGGCAGAGAAGGGTACGACAGTCTTCGCTTGTTCGGCCAGTAGGTAGGGTGGAAACGCATTGATGACACGGGCAGCCACAGCCGGTTCGAAATCGTGATCGCCTTTCCAATCGGCCATGGTTTTGCCCTCTTTGAAATGTGCGGCGAGGTGGTCTGCTCTCTCATCCCAACTACTTAGATTGGCATTGCATATACCACAGCGACATGTCACTGGCAGAGTCTCAAGTTTCCAGTCGTCGATGAGAGGTAGCGTTTCGAGTCCGTGGACTAGACGAAGGTGTTGCGTGAGATGATCTTTGCGGTGGAAGATACGCGGGCTGTTGCTGCCGTCCGTGCATGCCGCGTGATTATGTTTCTGCAGATGCTGGGGTGTTGGATCTAGTGCACTACAGTAGGCACAGTGTACTCTACCCGTAAGAGGTAGCACCACAGAAGCTCCATGCGGCGTGCACATCCAGCTTTCGAGGTTTAGATGTAGCGATATCTCGTGTCGCTTCCAGTCGTACTTGTGCTTGAAGGTGTCGCAACAGAAGGTACATTTGAATATACGATCAGGATCCAGCATATTGCCTCTGACTCTTCCCTTGCTTCTTGTCTTGGCTTGACTGCGACGCTTCGATTGCGACGTGGCGGAGCGGCTCGAATTCGCGGATCGTAATGAGGATTCGCTTGCAGCGCTATCGAGACTCGTGGTAGAGGAAGGGCCGCGATACTTGCGGAACGCGTCGCCACTGGACGGCCGACTGATACGTGGTGAGTGGCCTATGGGTCTGTCCTCCAAGGCATGGTAGATGGCCGACAGAGATGCGGCCTCGTCTTCAGGCGGCGAGTTCCGCCAGCGCTGAATGGCCAATGACTGACCCTCTTCGTGTCGAGGACTTCCACTCGGTATCACCATCGGGCTGACAGTGCCCGTTGATCTTCGCTTAAAGTACTTGCTTCGACGGCGGGGGAGTGTGTGATGACGCTGCGATTGTGGGCGCTCGTGAAACTCAGTCGGCTGGTACGCGTCGAATGGATAACTTGGTGAAGTCATACCACTCAATGGTTGCAATGTGTCTTCCAACGTAAAGTCTTGGAAGTTCGGGTCGATTGCCAAGTCGTCGTCGATGCTGAATGCGGCAGGAGCATCAGGTGCAGCGTTAGTCGCACCCTGGCCGACATCTGTAGCGAGGAAGTTGTCGAACCATGAAGGGTCGATCGTATCTTCGTTCCATGATTGGAAGTTCCAGTTGTTCACTTGTTGATGATCCATGGCTCCAGAAGTCGCGAGTGTTGTTTTGGCGATGACGAAGATGGCTGGAAATGGCTGTAGGATGAAGGCGTCAGCCCGAAGTCGGCGCCGCTACCGATGCAACCTTTACCAAGTGATCGCGTATAGATCCATGGATCTAGATTAGCAAGCGAATGCAGTACACCGCAAAGAACCTCGGGCTGTCTCTGGCCGACTGCTAGATATTGCGAGGCATGCAAGGCGTAGGGCGTGAGGTGGGGCGAACTTCAGAACGCGCTAGCCCCGCGATCTAGACAATTCTTCCCTCTAGCGCAACAGGACCGGACTTTCACGACGCGATATAACGTGACTTGCGATACGATGGAAGACGATAACGAGAAGGCTGTCGCGGAGCAGCACGAGCAAGTGCTGGAAGGTGTTTTCGGTAGGTGATACTATCGTCTCCCGTCCGCACTTTGTTACTAACTCTGTATAGCCGTGGTGAAGCCTGCGAATGTCTCCTCAGCAGACGTGCTTCTTAAACTCCAGTCAACATTCGCTTCCTCAGATACATTCGCGCCACTGCGCAGACACCAGCCCAAACGTACCAGCAAATCCTCCGACCAAGTATTCCGCCTAGGTCACGGCGGCACGCTCGATCCCCTAGCCTCCGGCGTCCTCATCGTAGGCATCGGGCGTGGCACAAGATCGCTCTCACAGTACCTAGCATGTGACAAAAGCTACGACACCACCATTCTATTCGGTATGAGTACCGACAGCTACGACTGTACTGGAACTATGAAGACAAGAGCAGACGCCTCGCACGTGACTCGTCAGCTTGTCGAGGAACAGCTGCCCAACTTTCTCGGGACGATTCAGCAAGTCCCACCGGTGTACTCAGCGCTGAAGATCAACGGCATCAAAGCATGCGAGTATGTAAGGCAGGGCATGGACTTGCCTCGAGCGTTGGAAAGTAGGGAGATGGAAGTGAAGAGGTGTGATCTACTGGAATGGTATGATCCGGGTCAGCATGACTTCGCCTTCCCTGGCGAGGAGAAACCGGCTCCAGCACCTGCGGCACGGATTAGATTGACGGTATGTTCTGGCTTCTACGTTCGCAGCTTTGCGCACGATCTGGGTGTCGCTTGCGGTACTGTTTCGCACATGGCCGCGCTGAAGCGCGAGGTGCAAGCCAATTTCGTGCTCCAGCCTTCTCCGTTTCCGGAGGATACCGCTGCGATCCCGTATGATGATTTGGATGTTGATGAACATGTCTGGGGCCCCAAGCTCAGACCACAGCTCGAGGAGTGGGTCGCAGCCAATCCAGTTAACCAAGGACATGTCAACGGGCGAGAAGGAAGCACGAAGAGGAAGATGGCACAAGAGGGCGAAGCAAAGCCCAGACAGAGGTTCCGCGGAGAATGGGTTGCTGAAACGAAGAGAGAGAGGATTAAGCAGCAAGGTGGCAAGTACAAGGGGAAATGGGGACGGAAGCCCGAGGTTGACGCACTTATAAAGCATTTTACGCAGGATATCAGTAAGTATCAATGATACAGCGGCGCCCCATAACTCCTCAGCAAACTCAACCACTCCGCACTCCTATCCGTCAACTCGCAGCACTCGAGCATAGTCCATGTCCCCAACTCGCCGCACGGCTGCGCCTTGCTGTTCAAGACCAAACTCCTGCCATCCACCACGCCGTTCTGGAGTAACTTCTCCATAACGATGTAGTTGTCTTTCCGAATCGCCGACAAAATCGCCGAAAGCCTGGGTCGCTGCAGCGCATATCCAACATCCCATTGGACCACCATATCGATGAGCTCAAGGTACTGGGTCTGAACTTCTGGTCTGGTGGGTGGAGTGCAGTGCAGAAGCATGTCGTATATGGGTGGTAGAGCGGCGATTTGTTCGCGCAGGGCGGCTGCGGAGATGGCGCTGAGAAGGACGCGCACTGTGTCTTTGTTGGACCCCTTTATGGCGTAGCTCAAGGCATCGTATGTTAGTTCTGGGGCGAGGCCGATCATCTCTTCGAGCATTGTAGTGTTGGTCGTACTGTTTTGGTACGCGGCAAATTGCAGAACATTCATGTCTTCGAAAGCTGGGTCGCGGGGATGTGCGCCTGCTCTGAGAAGTACGCGAGCTGTTTCCAGCGAGTCGAGTGAGAGGGCAGTGGCGAGTGGTAAAGCTTTGGTCTCCTTCTTGTTTCGTCGGAAGGAGATTTCCTCTCGTACCAAACGGCCTTTGGTCTGCAAGATGAGTTCGACCGCCTGTGCAGCGTCTGCTGAGATCGCACGGCTGAGCGCTGTCCTTGGGCCCAGATCTGTAGCCGTCCGTTGCGTGAGACATAGATTAAAGCCTCTGTCGATCAGTAGCCTTAGTATGCGAAGTGCGTCTTCCGGTCGCTTATCCCAGGTCTCTTTGGTCAACGCGTTGATTGGTGATACGAGTCTTGTAAGCTTTTCTTGGTGCAGCAAAACATCGTCTTCTTTCTCGTAGTCCCTTGGCATGCCTTTCATGCTCAACATCTCTTCCACTGCATCTGCCCATCCGGCACGAACGAAGCAAGACAGAACAGAGTACTCGTACGTCATCTGCCACGGGCGATTTGTGACACCGGCGTTCTTGATTTCGCTCTTGTTGTCGAATGCGCCTGAAACGAAGGCTGTAGGATCGAAGTTTTGATGCTGCATGACGAGTTTGAGGGTACTCATACCGCGATCGACATTTTTCCATTTTGATAGGCCATCAAGGAAGCTGGTCTTTGTAACACGAACCTGGATCTCATTCCAATAGTGCTGCGCGTCATACATCTCTCTTGGCCATTGCTCGACCATTGGGTTTGCGCCATGATATACAAGACAATCGATGAGGTCTGCATGTCCCTTGTAGGCAGCCGCCAAGAGCGCGCGATCCATTGGAGTGTAGTCTTCTCTCTTCGTTGCGTCTCCGTAAGTGGCACCCTCTCTCAAGAGATAGTCGACCACTCTGGCTCGTCCGTTCATGGTAGCTTTCGCTAGGGCCTCGTGCTTTACCTTCTTCAACTTACTAGTTGATCGATACATAGGATCAGCTCCCATACTGATGACTGCCCTGACCAGTGAAAGACTACCCTCCGCAGCAGCTTCTTCGAGAATATCGGTAAGGTCGTTTTGTGATGGACCACTAGCTGAATTTGGCGTAGTAGCCGCTCTTTTGAGTAGGAAGCTCTTCTTGAAAGGAGATGCACCCTTCCGATCTGATGGCGGCTCCTTCCTGCTCAGTCTGCGCAGTATCTCAGCTCGAGCATCGCCGGGACTCATGTCGGATGCTTCACTCTCTATACTTTGCGTGGTGGATATAGAGATATTTCTTCGTGATGACTGATCTAGCCCCCCAGGTAAATCTGGTAATACGGATGAGCCCATGCTAGAGCTGCGATTACCATTCGCCATGTAGGCAGTGCTCACACGCTCAGAAATGCCATGGACGACCTGCAGTGGTTGTGGTGTCGAAGTGGAGGGCGGAGGATGATCGAAAGCGATATACATGGATTGCATCCTGTCTGACAGACCATCTTCAGTGCTATCGCTGCTTCCCCAAGACATCGGAGGAGTAGGGGGGACTGTTGATGCATGTTTCAGAAATCGTAAAGGCTGTGGTGGAGAAGACTTCGACGCGCGTTGTGGGAATTGTGGCCGAACAGCTTGCGAGTCTTCGCTTCCTGGGGGTCGGGAGAATCCATCGGTTGGGGGCTCAGGAAAGGGTTCCATTTGAGGGTTATGCGATAGTAGTGGTCCTTCGCGCAGTGGTGAGAAGACGTTGCCAGACTTGAGAGATATGCCATCGGCTGTGAGTGGCTGCATAGCGATACTGGCCCCAGACCCAGCAATGGAAGATGCCAACGGAAGACTTGCTGCCTCTTGCCGCTTTTGCGGCACCTTGTGAGTATGGTTCAGATAAGTGACATTCTCGTCAGCCTTCCCTGTTATTGTTGGAGATATCGACGGGTGGGGCGCAAGGTATTCGAAGGATGGTCCGCCATAGAAGTTGCCGTACTCAGCAAAGCCGTCTGCATATCGCTGCTCTTCTTGCTGCACCGCCATTGTTTCTTAAGCTCTTTGTTCGAGATTGATGTAGCTGTATTGGCTGCGATGAAGCGCTGCCAGGTGGTGAGGGATGCCAGGAGAGCGCGGGGTAAAAGTGTTCCCGGCATTGATGTTTGATTGCTTGTCAGCATGCTTTAATCCAGCCTTGTCACTAAAAGTGACATTTCAGGCGTTCACTACTACCGGGTGGAAGACTGGCTTCCGAGACCCTGACAAAGGCGCAAGCGGGCTGTGGTGCCGGCGCACGGAAAGCCGTCCAACACTGGGATCATGGCCGCAAAGGGGCGTTCATCGCAGCCTCTGGAGGACTTTGGCTGGGAGTGCGAGATGAGCATGCGGTATAAGCGAATTAGGTTCGTGAATGCAGCACGTGGGCGGAGAACTTCGGGATGCTCTCAATTCGGCTGCCATAGATGTCGCGTCAACGCTCTTTTCCGCCGCTCGTCGTTTGTGAACTTCTCTCTTGTCGTGGGGAGCATTGTCAACATGCCGTAGCGCCGATATGAAAAGTGATCGGTGGGTGTTTCTTTGTTCTCAAGTTGCCAAGCTAGGAGTGCCTCAGCCCTGCATGGAGAACCGAAATTCCGAAGCCCACATCCACCACGCTTATCTCGATCGTTCAGATGCCACTGCCGCGAACATATTGTCATCAGAACCTTCCAAGCCACTGCTAGGTCGTTAGTTGCTTACCTATCCTCCAACAACGCGTTCTTTCCCGCCATATCAGCGCGCAGTGGAGATGGATCTTGCCAATGTTGGTCTGAAGGACTATCTGGTCATCGGCTCTCTCACCGGGCTTTTGCGAACGACTTCGATGCAAATTGCTGGCTACAAGCAGAGGGATCTCACATACTTTCAGTCCTACGGGACGTGGGCGAGCGCGAGCCTCGTTACTATTGTCGTATACACTATTGCGCTGCGGCTGCTAAGGAGACCTGCATTGCGGGAGGGTCGGACCAAGTAGCAGGAAGCAACGAAGCGGCAAGGCAGCCACGACAAGGGCGTCTCGAGGGCGGCTCAGTTCTGAGGCAGAGAAGATATATCGGCGATGGGAACCTCAGTGATATTGTACACGCTGGATGCCCTATGATGGTCCCTTCCTCTGAGGCGGGATGAATCGGGACGAGTGCACGGGTGCAGTTACTCAGCGAGGAGCTTTGACCAGGTCTTTCGTGCGTGCCGTCATCACCAATGCCGTCCATAATCTCCAGAACACCAGAACCACCGCCATCTTTTCTGTATCGCATCGAATGTCTTCTATCGGCTCCCATGGTCGAAGAGAGCTACTTTTGAACTGTTCGAATCCTCTTGATGATATCAGCTCGTCGTCATCTCAATTTAGGAAGCTGCGACGGCCTGCATTGCGTGGCAGGCTGGGTTGGACCGCTTTCTACCACATCCTGCTCTTACATCGCGACGATACCTGGATCTTGTCTTGTCCCCAAGGAGGATATACAAGCGTCACCAGTTTGCGCTCCCCTCTCAAGGCGACTTACCAGAATGGCGCGATTAAGAGTCGCGCATTATGTTCTTGACTTTGCCGAGATATCTTGTGCCGAGGAATCTCGCGCTCCATACCAAGCTCATTTATCTGGAAATCTGCAAGCCTATTGACATGATCCAGATGTCAAAGTGGCACAGTTGGCCCTACTGTATAAGGTTTGCTGATGTCGCGTCATTCCCCTCTAGCGCAGAGCCCCTGGAGGGTCGGAGCATGGCTGCGACACCAGACGCTGATTTTGCCAAGGGTACTGTACCCTCGACCTCTGATCCAGGCCATCTCCACGGGTCCGTTGGCCCACTCCACAGAGATCTGTAGATCAGTGCGCGATGATTGTGGAATCTAGGGTCGGGGCTTTTGGAGAAACAAGGAATCCACCATGGCGCTACGGAACGCCTTCGATCGCAAATTAAAGACATTTAGCCTACGGCGTGTCAGACGCGCACGCAGGTTCCCAGTCGCTTCATGAGTGAAGAAGGACCGACGACGTCGAGGGAAAGTCGACCGCGACCACTCCGAGGGATTGCATGCTGATCGGAGGCAACCCCGCGAAATCGCCAAGTCGTTGGAATGCTATCTGACCCTGCCGCGAGTCAAGCGTGCGTCGTCCATCGCCACGAGGCTGTCTCAACGCAAAATTGGACCGGCTGGGCAGAAGCCACGAGGATATCCCAGGACAGCTCTATAGCGTGCGGTAGCTCCACGACAAGCTCAACCAAGGACACTGATGGACTCAAGCACTTCGTGACGGCGCCCGCACTTAGCTTACCACGTTCGCTGTGCATTCGAGTGTCCCGATTCGCGGCTCAGAAGTTCTCGAGCTGCTTCGGCTTCTTCTAGTGATGTGTTGGTATGGTACTGGTGTTTCATTGTTTGCTCAGCTCCCTTTGTCAGTTCCGTGGATGCATGATGCCTGCCCGACGACAGAGACTGTACAACTCGCGGCAAGATTAAGATAAATTATGGACGGGACGGGGAATGTTCCCGCTCACGTCCGAGACGCGGCGCCATAAGAGTGAGGCATGTTGATACCTGCTATCTATCTTGCGCGTACAAACGTTGCGATAACCTCATGACGTTCGGGCAACGTTGTCACGTCAGTGCGAAGCTCGTATTCGCAGAATACCGAAGCTTCTCATGCCCGTTAAGCAAAAGGAAAAAAGGGTTCGTCTCACCCGCAGTGGCCGCGGAGCCGGTTGATCGACTACTGATCAGCACGGGACAGACGCTACCAGCCGCCTGGAACTATGCGACTCATGATTCCGACGTGTAGCACAAGACGCCGGATCATACCACTCCCTTTTAACCTACCCTGACCCTAGGCTTCGCGCTGCCCGCTATATGCAGGTGTGAAGATGTCAAACAACCCCAAGTAGAGTTCGCACTTGACCTCACTCACCACTTCTCTCCGTTTGTTCCCATTGGGGCGAACTTAAACTCCACCGGCCACACATACTGTGTGTGTATGCTGCCGCGATGGAGATAGTCACTTCTATAGTAAGAACTACGCGAGCCCGAATGATTTGAAGTCTCACTCACATCCACAGGTTATCCAGGGGATACTCCTCGTGTTGGCACTGGGTGTTACGATACTAAGATGTTGGGTCCGTCTTTGTCTGGAGCACCGTTCATTGACTCTACCCGACTACCTCGTTTGGGGAGGCTTCATCTGCGCGCTTGGATGGTTTGCCTGCTCTACAAGAGCGCTTTACATCTTGATTGATCATCCCCTGGATGAGGAGACAAGGAGCGACTCCGTCGAATACCTGAAGGTACGTAAAAAACATGACCTTCAAGATACGCAACGAGGACGAGTGAGCTGACAGGTGTTTGCTGCTAGGTCGTATTCGTGTCTATCTACTTCTTCGACACAGGGCTGTACTTCCCCAAAGTTTCGCTGGTGGCTTTCTACTGGTGGTTGATCCCGCAAGGCTTCAGACGTCTTCGTTACGCAGTATATGCCACTACTGCGATCGTGATCGCCTGCTTTGTTGCGAGCATACTGTGCGATACTCTTCTCGCGCCAAACATCTCCGACAATTGGTACGGCCTTTACCCTTACTTCGATCAAGTTGTTTCTTGGCTAACATCTACTTTCCAAAAGGTCTATCGAGAACCAGCTCAACTCAACATGGAATACCTACTCCAATCTGGTGGTCAACTGGACACTCAACTTCGGCACCGATCTGCTGCGTACGTAGCCCAAAGTCACTTCCTGAAACATGAGCTAATACTGTTCCCAGTATTCGGCCTTCCATTCTTCATCTTCAACTGCTTGAAGCTGCGTAGAAGACAAAAGGTCGGCCTGGTCGGAATCTTCTCTCTAGGCGCCATCACGATGGCAATCAGTCTCGCCCGTTTCATCGTCTACAACATGGACTACGACATCGCCGACGCCGACGGCAGTACGTCACCCTTCCCATCTCACCTCCCCAAGCCTCCACTAACAGCCCCCAGACCTTTGGTGCACGGCCGAAATGTGCACAGCCGTCATCGTCGTCTCGCTCCCGTCCTTGAAGGCACTCATCATCAAACCCACACCCGCTACCTCATCCAACCGCAGCAACTCAGGCTATCTGCAAGCTGGCTCCGGCAAAACGATTGGTAGCAAAGGTATCAACTTCAACGGGCACAGCTCGAATATTCAGGGCGGCACTATGGACGATGAAATGGAGTTGACTTTTCTGGACCGGAAAGCCAGCCCTACACCAACTGGAACCACTGATGGGTCACGCTTACAAGATGGAAAAGATAATGTGATGGTGACTACAGATTTCGAGGTCACCAGTACGCGGAATGTGTTTTAAATTGGTGTCTGTAATCCTGATCGTCCTTTAGACTGCGTAAAAGATAGAACGAAATGATAGCAACGACTACTCGTCTACTGTCTTCACAGCGAGCACCGTCCGCTCAATCCCCTGCTCCAATCCTTCGGGAAATGGTCGTACCGAGATGGTCGAAACCGCATTTTCAGAATCGAACGCTCTGCGACATGTCTGCACATGTACCCCCTTGTAGTTCTCGAGATAAACAGCATGCGATAAGGACATCGGGGTGATAGCCCTAGACCCTCGGTCTCTTTAGTGAACACAATCGAGCCCTAAGTCGTCCTAGCTATGCATGCGTGATATTGTTGTGGAATAGCATGTGACGTCAAGCCTCAAAGCCGGACTCGAGAACTAGCCATGTAGCACACGCAGCCTTTAGCCATATACACACCGTCTAATCGCACAAGCTCGCAGTCTACCTAGCACCGAGACGACATATATCGCGCATCGCATGGCCGCATCGTGAAGACAAGCTATGCAGAGGTTATAGGGAGATTGGCAGTCACGATCCGCCGTCGCAAACGTCCGTGCGGCCATAACGGCAATGAGGAGGCGGTGCATCCCTCCCACTCCGCCCAACCACATCGCCCACCTGACCCCCGACCCACACACCCGCCGTCATCCACCACCGACTTCATCCTTTCCTCATCGTCGGTCGTACGCCGTTACTCACGCTTTACCCCGACCACCGAGCCCTGTACTTCGCGCCTAACACCCACGTAAACGCACGATTCTTCGCGCGACGCCTCGGACGCATCGCATGCCGCCGATATGAAGCCCAGTAGCCGCCTCGTTTCCGCATCCGCAATACTGCTGGCTTGCACAAGCACAGTACTAGCCGACGACACCATCAGCGGCACAAAGATCAAAGTGCAGCTTTTCGCCGCGCCCTCGTTCCTGAGCGAAGTTAGTGTCGACGCGTATAATAACCAGTGTCTATCGCTGGATAATAATCTGTATGTTGCGCACACCTGTCGCTTTCGCGTGTGATCGGGGGAGAAGTGCTAACGCAAGGGATATAGCATCGATGGGCGCGTGCAAAGTATCTTAGTAGGCGGACACGATGTCCAGGCTGTATTGAATAGGGATGATTACTGGAGCTGCCGGTTCTATGAGTAAGTTCGTTCCTAGTGTTGGTGGTTAGGGTTGGTGTTTCCGAGGGTGGCTGCTAATGTTACCACAGCAATTACGACTGCAGCGGCGACGAAAACATGGACCAGTTTCTCGCTATTTCCGATGGCGCGAATAACCTGGGGAGTGTCGGCTGGGGAACAAAGATACATGGGTTGAAGTGCAGTAATAAGGAGCACGAGGACGACTGAATGGATGACGCATGAGGGCAAGAGATGGATACATGCTGCGACATAGACGTCGAGCGAGATCCGATTCATACAGATGAACATTCGTCCCGCGACGGCACAACCCACATTACAGATGCGAACGATACACCTCCGCCGCGGAGACTGGGACGCGATAGGGAAGGTCAGATGCACACCGGACCGATGCGTGCTGACCGTAGGGTGCGAGGCGATCAAGCACACAAGCAGAGAGGGCAATGTGTATATACCAAGGGCATGGTTCGTGCGATATAGCGTTGGCATTGGCGTTTACATTGGGTTCTGCATCTACATGCGATGGGAGATGGCACCGGCGTTCGAAGTGCTCGACGCCTACTTAGTGCTGTATCAGTACCGGGCAGAGATAAATCTAAATATAATGATTGTACCGAGCCTTCTGTCTATGTCTGTCAGTGGTTGTGATGGGCGTGTTGTTCCTTGCTCAAGGGAAGTTGACATACTGAGGCACGCCTTCGACGAGATATGCACGCTCTCTTTAGATATACAATCACTCATCCATTCATTCAATCATGCCATCATAAGCACCAGGGTATCTCCAGCGCAAAAACACATCCACAAAACGCCATGCCATGCAATGCTCCCACTGTCCCCTCCCACCTACAAATCAATCAAATCCGGCGCCTCTCCACTCCCCACCCCCCTCAACAACACAATCATATTCCCATTCTGACACGGCTCCCCAATCTTCTCACTAAACTTCAGCAACCTTCCGCCCTCTACATGGAAGACCCGTAACTTCTCCTCCTCGCCCCCACCCCGGTTATTCACATTCTGCACCTGCAGCGCCTTCGCCGCCATATCCAACACACGTCCCACAGTCCATTCTTTATTGTAGAAGAATTTCCCCGTGGGGTATTTGGCTTTTGTGGTATCGGCCGAGGCTTCGACGTGGAGGTATATGCGCTTTTCGGCGGGGATGCTGGCTTCGCCTTTTGCGACGCGTTTGAGGGCGTTGAGTTCGGCTTGAGCGGAGGTAGCGGCGGAGGAAGAGGATTTGCCTAGGCCGAGGAAACCGCCTGTTTTCTTGGATGAAGAGCGCCGTTTCTCATCGTCCTTTTTCTTCTGCTCTGCCCATGCTTTCAGTCGTGTGAGCGCGGTTTGCGTGCGTGCTTGTACGTAGTTCTGGGGCCGCGCGCCGAGGGGCGTTAGGGTCGAGCAGGAATGGTCTTCTTCGAAGCGGTGTTTGAGGCAGTACCGTCTGTTACAGCGCGGGCAGTGGACGCCTTGTGCGCGAGCGGTGTCTATGAAGGTCTTGCAGGAGGGGTTGGCGCATTGTGAGTCGTGGTTGTAGACGCTGGGTTTGGGGGCGGATGGCGTGGTGTTTTGGGCGTTTTTGGCTTTCTGGCGCGCCCATTCGCCTTCTTTGGGGCATTTGTGTGCGTACTCGGTGCGGTGGTCGAGACAGAATTTCCTGGGGGGAGTTGTTAGTATGGTGGTGTCCAAGTGTGTCTTGTGTAGGTACGCGTGGGACGCGTAGCCTGGAGGGAGTTGGGTACCTACCCGTGACAGCTCTCACAGCGGAATGGTAGAAAGTCGAGTACATTGCAGTATTCCATCTGGCAATGCGCCCCGATTGCTTCTAGGTCGCCCTTCATCTCGGTGTAGCTCGATTCGTTGGCTGCCATGGTTGTGGTAGACGTGGGAATGATATATGTGTGGAAGGCTGAGTGAAGAAGATGCTAGAGAGCTATTACGGAGGCGACAGTGAATGATCAAAACGCTGAGCAAGCATCAGAAGCCTCGAGAAGGCGGTTAGGCTACCAAGAGCTTACGATTGTCGCCGCGCCGTCTCGGAAGGCGATTCCGATGAATGCGGCGCTAACCGTGAATGATTGCTAGCGTCAGGGTCCAGCGGCTGCCATCTATCTCATCCACGCCTGCCTTCACTTTTGCGTTCACCACCAGATTGTGAACCGTCTTCAACAACTGCCAGCTACGGCACGGCATCTCTGAATCACCCGTGCTTGTCATGTGACACACGACTAAACCCTGACTCGAGTTCATCGCCTTCATCAATCTGCTTGCAAGGCTGAAGGTCAGCCTTGCCAACATCATGTACATGATCATGCACGCCTTTCATTCGCTCAAGATGAGCCTGGTCAGCCGTAGTCCTGCATATGAGCCCATTCCCCGCGGCTGACACTCATCCTTCTCACCACAATCCCTCAAATGGCGGAGGTGGTGGGCGCCGTCGCCGCTGTTGTCCAATTCGTGGACGTAGCGCTTCGCCTTTCATCCTGTCTCGAACGTTTCTGCTCAGATGTGCGCAATGTACCGCGTCGTTTTCTTCAGCTGCAGACCGACCTACGTCAGCAAGTCGAGATCGCCCAACAGATCCAGAATCATTACTTGCCTGGTTTCGCAACGGCAGTAGCGTCCTCAACGTTTGATACGCCTTTGGTTGAGTACGTTGATCTGGCTGAGGAGTTGTGTAAGACGCTAGAAGCATTGCTCGCCCGCAAGAATGATGGAGTGCTGCAACGAGGCTGGGATGCTATTTGCTCCATCCGTAAGAAAGAAGAGGTGGCAAGCATATGTGATCGACTTGAACAGAAGAAGAGCATGCTATCCTTGTGGCTGGAAGCAGCAAATCTGTAAGTGAAGTTCTAACAATGCGGAAGCTGGCTGCCCGGCCTGGAGGATACCACTGTACTGACTAACATACAGCAAGCTCACATCAAGTATCGCAGCGACCACAGACCAGACGCGACTCGATGTCAACAATACAACGACGCTCATAAAGACAGTCGAAGATATTTCGAAGATCACCGCAACAAATACAGCACAGCTGCTTCCTCGCATCGAACAGATCGACCGAACCACAACAACCACAGCCATCAGAACGGAACATATCCTACACGATACCCAGCGCCTCCTATCAGAATACAATGCGGATGCATCGACACGGCAGTCGAGTCATCAGAGCACGGCAATGATATTGGCAAATACAGAGCAGATTATCGCGACCATCGAAAAGTTGACCGTGAACCCAGGCAAACACAATTCCTACGCACAGCCCGGCTACGTTACAAACCACATGTATGACGGCTCCCCGATAAGCCAACAAGTACAGCAAACCACGATAATCCATGGTCGTAGAGCTCAAAGATGCAAATGTCGTACTGTCAGCACTGCACGTCGGTGGCAGCCGTTGTCCATCCTTCGATTCACCCGAACTTTCCAAACGCAACATTTCTCATACTGTCCCGATTACCGAAAAGCGGAGCAAAGTCTTGAAATCACCATGCAGATCGTACCTCCGTCATGGCTTCTATACCAAACTATCGACTTCGGTACAACGGTCAAGAATTGGTCGACCATGACCCCTTTCTCGATAAGTCCGATCATGGTCGGTACAAGCCGACTTGTTGATTCAAAGGTGTCGCCTGCGTTCCTTGCAATTAAGAAAACCGAGAAGGAGCTCGAAAAGCTCCAATGGAAACCAGATTGGCATCACGTGGTAGTCCCTCAGCTTCAAAACACTTTACAGCGGCTGTTCGATAACGCAGAAGCTTCAGCCCTTGACACTGATAGAAACGGTCGTACCATTCTGAATGTAAGCATACATAGTCTTGTGATAGAAGTCTATCCTAACCAGCGTTCAACAGGAAGTTGTTCGACTGTTCGTCTTTCACCGTCCTTCGCCTCGCGAAGTCGCAGAATATGCAGCTCTGTTTCGGTTCTTACTGGGTAATGGTGCTGACCCCAATGCGATAAAAGATGCCATACCTGATTACACTTTCGACTCCTTGACGCATCATGGAGGCACCACATGCGACCAGCTCATGGACCCAATGTCGGCTGACCTGAGTTGTGGTGGTCTCTCACTCCCAGGACTTCAGACCATACTAGAGTTGTTCGTAGATGCTGGAGGACATACGTCGAAACCTTTCGTGGGTAGTAACCGTCCAGGCGTTCGTTGCATCAGTTTTCGCGACGATGTTATACAGCTGAGGCTTTTTGAAGATCAAATTGATAGTAAGTGTCTCAGTTCATTTGGTATGAATTTTTCCTGATATCTTATACTAGTCATGGATCTCGGGGTTCTTGTGCCGATCATCTTGCAACGACAGGAAGAGCACTTCCGCCGCATAATCAAAAAGGCTGAGCCATCAACTTTGAATCGGAAATCACCGATCAACGGACTTGCTCCAATTCATTTCGCTGTCTTATGGCCAATCGGACTGAGGATGCTAGTAGGCAGAGGTGTGGATGTGAACCCCGAAGACAACTTTGGTCGGCGACCTATACATCTTGCCGTGGCTCTAGGGATCTTCGATTCCGTCCAATGTTTGCTCGACGCGGACTGCGGACTCTTCACCCCAGCACAAGACTACAGCCTGCTGCAATACGCTTTGAATTTGAGTGACGATCACAAAAGATCACAGATTTCACTTGAACTCATTCAGGCGTTTTGTGATCGTCATACGCGTATCAGGGATCTAGCTGAGTCATGTCTACCAACCTCTATCTTCTCTAGGCTCGGGTTGGTGCAGCTTGAGTTACATGAACAGCTTGCGCCATCCATTTCCGAAAGGCTTCTGTCACATGGAATCCATATTCCTCCGGCTCTTGAGCTCGATGGAAGGGGACTCTATAACTCTTTTACAACCAATGGTGAAGAGGTCATAATGACTTCAGATACAGCAGATGCACTGTGGTCTCTAGGTTTTCACGATATCGACAAACCCAACGAGAATGGGTGGACTCCGTTCTTGCAAAGCTGGTTCAGCCATAACTATGGGATGATAAATTGGTTGGTACAAAGAGGTGCACGGTTGGACTCAAAACATGAGACGAGTCCTTTAACAGCCCTCCATCTTCACGCGAAGCGTATGAGCGTTAGAAAGCCACCCTACACCCGGAGCGAGGACACATCAGCCATGAAGGCACACTGTATCGAAATGGCACAGGAGGCATTCGGTGTGCCATACGACGACTGCACATGCGCATGCTCACCGAAAGGGTGTACACCTGTCAAGTTCTTGCTCGAAGACGAAGACGAATGGTATAATCCCTCATGGAAAGACCGCATTCGGAGATATATCGAAGTTTCAAACCCACCGAAGCCTCAACTAGACCAGTACATCTACCTTCTCACAAGACAAGTTCTTTTCGATTTCTTGGGTGGTGAGCATACTTGCTGTGCTCTTCGGCAGGGATATTTGTTTCCAGGTAGGCTTCACAGACCTGCAAAGACGAAGACGACATGGCGCAAAAGGCTCTATGATCCCACAGATGATGATGAATATGAACGCTTCCAATACAGCTGGGCCCATATGCAATGCTGCGCGAATGGCCTGGCAGTACCGCGGGTTAAAGTCCTGGAAGATTTACATGATCCCGAAGTTTTCAGCGCTACGTTTGACTCCGCGCTGTCACACTACGACGAGATGGATCGGCCTGATACGATACCAGCGGAGGGACAAGTTTTCGCGTACATCAACTGGATTCTGGAGAAAAGATATTTGGACATCGATGTTTCTGACGGTTGTGAACATGGTAGTGCGATAAGAAAAGATTATCCCATAATCTGGTAATGCTTGTCATTTGATTGTCGTCATTAGGTATTCTTCCACATCCAAGATCCACAATACAAGCCCTCTGGACCTAGACTTCTCTGGGTGACACATTCTCGCTAGCTGTTGCAATCAAGCTCGCAGTAATCACCGCAATCACATATCAAGGCGGGCCGCCACTTCTGAATACACTTTCAGAATGGTCCGCAGATGGTCACCAGGCAAACAACACCGTTCAATCCGTAGAATCTGTAAGCTCCGCTTCATTATATGCCTTCTCGTAGGTACGCTAACATCTACATCAGATCTTCTCGACCAAGGCAAGGCAGACAGCCCCCGTCAACCCACCGCCAGTCGTCGTACTATCGCCACCAAAACATCCGAGGACGTCACACGAGATCTCCACCACAGATATACCACGTTCGCGTCCAGTGGATTTGCATTACGTTACGAGGGTTACAGTCATCACCCACGAAACCCTGTTACTGGCCCTGCACCTCTGCGAACCACCCGCACGAAGCACTTGGATGAAGACCGATAATGCTGGGCGTGGTCAGGGGACGCATCATTGGAATGTAATTGGGAAGTGAGATTGGCGAGTTGTTGGGGTGTGAGAGCGGACCGTTGGAGCGATAGACGTGACCAAATAACATATGGGCGTAAAGAAGACCGGTATCATAGACTGAAAATCGATGTTTGCTACGTCTTTGATATTGCTACGCCAATGGTGCCTCCAATCAAAGTCGCATCTTGCCGCATACACACCCTCAAAAGTTGATAAGTACACAGCTTCTAGTACAACGTGTACTTCAATCTGTACGTTGCACACCAATCTCATCGCCAGATATAGACGGAGATTTCCTTAGTAGACACTTATAGCCTGAGCGACATGGCCTAGAAGATACGTGAACAGTATCCTGTGCCCCCAGCGTCCTATCATGACGCGGTCTTCGTTGGCGCGTCGCCGTGTGCACTAGAGTTCGCCATCCCAGGCTCCACTCAAAGCCTCCTCAATCTCCTCCTTGTGTTCAGAGAAATAATGTCCGACTAAAGATGCTACTTCTTCTGCTACTTCTTTTTGCGTATGACAACGCCCTTCTGGGAGGCAATACTACGACGGCATCAGTATGTCACACAAAAGGTACCTTTGCAAACTAAAACATACCTTTGCAGCTGGCGTAGCCTGAACCACTGCTTTGACTTGTAGCGCGCGGGTAGCGAGTACGTCGGAGAGAAGCCCCAGGATATATACTGCCGCGACAGTGAAGATGAGGAGCTTGATGGTCAGGAAGAAGAGGTCAATCTTCATTTTCCTCGTGTCTTCGTCGGATTCTGCCCCGATCCTGGCGAGTTCTCCGTCATTCTTCAGGGCCTCGAGGTCCAATTCGAATTGTTGTTCTGGTGTTCGCATGCTGGTAGCTGGAACACGCCATGATAGCTTTGGGGTTGAGAATCTAGTGTAGGCCGGGAGGGTGTCCTTTTCGTTGTCCATGGCTGTGTGTGCTGTGGGTATTTGTTTTTTGTAAAGTGGGTGATGGACGGAAAATCTGAGTAAGAGTTTGGAAGCGGTGTAGAGGAAAGGTGATGAAAATAAAAATGCAAGAGACTTTATAACGAAGGTGCGCGGCTGCGCCTCGTAGAAAACCGTGGTTGATGTTCGCACTAAGCCACAGCCCGTACCTTTTAGATACCTAATCACTGTCATTCGCCCCGAGTAGATTCTGGCAGCCTAGTAGGAAATCTGGCTCAAATTCATGGGGCCTGGAGAGCCAAAGTTCTATGGTCGCGCCAAAACAAACCGCTGGCCGCGAGACACGCTTCGACCTACCCCAAAATCTCCGCCTAGGCAGCCACATACTTAGTATATCTTGGAGCTTCTTAGTCATCGTCGCTGAGCTCGTCCGCAGATGTGAAAGGAAACTCGGCGCCCTCATCCACCTGCGACTCCGAGACATCTACGACCTCCGCTCTCATGGACTCTTCAGACCTGCGATGGCGCTTCAGTTGCACTTGGGCACGCGCGTCCAAGCCAACATACTCTTGAAGTGGGTTTGACTCAACAGTATTGGCCATGTGGTAGCTATAGTACTGTTAGTTTGAGACTTCAAGAAACGCGAGTTTTCATCGTACATGAAGCCATGACCTATCATTTCAGAGAAGTCGTAGACGATGGTGCATCCAGCGGTTGCCGCGACTAGGGCCCTGACCTCCGCTGCTTTCGCGCTGTTCGCAGGGCCATCTCTTCCTCGGACGATGACCTATCATGGTTAGTACTCGGTACAGCGATGAAGTGTAATGTGTATACTTACAGTCCAGAGATAGTGGTCCTTTGGTACAGCGGGCATGATGTTGTAGTTGGTATCCGGATACCTGGCGTCGGGAGCGGCTGAGTAGAGGTATTTGTTTGTGATGGCGATTTAATTTGCTGTTGGGTAGTAGAGTTGAGAAGTTAAGATTTCTTGGGTAAATTGATGTCTTATATCTGGCCGTTTGCGAAGATGCGGAGCCCGGCGTAGGCAGCGAGTATCTTACCTGCCTTTACCTCACGCTTTGCGGTGTGACCACGAATGGATATCTGTTTGCATAGAGCGACACATAGACGAGGGTAATGCGGTTCATGACATGTGCCATTCAACAGGCGGGTCTCGATTTCTGCTCTATGGCTCGGATTGTGTAGCTCGATTACCCATCTCAAAAAGACATCGTGATGACCGCAAAAGAGCTTTGCAGTCGTGCATTGAGTTTGTCGCTCATTGTAGCTGCCAGGGTGGCCGTTCAAGGTGCGCGCGTCATGAGCACTGAAGACAGCGCCGACCTTCGCCATACCGAGCTATATGACCAGCTCAAGTGCCAAGGCAAGTGACGAGCCCTGAGATTGGCGAAGTCGGCGATGAGAATGGTGATGAAAAGGAAAAGGGTGTGTCGGTTGCAGTTGCCGTGCCATAAGCCGTTCAGCTACCCCGGATTCGTTGCGCCAACTACCTAGGTATGACGCTTCGGTCGATCTTCACCCCGCATGTCGATTTATCCTCCAACACGAACCACTAAACCACGCGCAGCCCGCGTCACATGCACACCCGTTGCATCAGCATATTACTACGACTAAATGATAGCCCAATTGACGAATCATATGTGCTGTCAGGTCGCCGTGAGGTGTTGATCTCTACAGCGGGCCGACATTCCTGCACGGTTGTCGGCAACCGTCCCTCGGCTAGGTGGTAAGGGTGTGCTTTGGTGTGTCTTCGTCGCATGACGGACGTTGGACGACGTACATGGCGCGAGCTATCCCGGTAAATGCTTGGGAGTACGGGCAAGCTTCATATAAGTGGAAGCTTGGGGCCCCGCAGTGTTGCTTGTCGTCTCTTGTCGCTGCGCCCTCACCTTGACCACATTTCAGCTTGACGCCATCGCATTGCCTACGTCGAATCGATAATCGCATAGTTCGCTCGACGCGCACGACAATGGCCGACGACCGAAAACCTTCGATCGAGCAAATCTCGGATGATAAGATCGCGCCTACTGCTCTGGAAGCAGGAAATGGGGTTGTCGATGGGCATCGCAAGCTGGTCCCACCGCCGTTGGTGGCTGCTATGAGTGCCGAGGAAAGGATTGAAGCAGAGAAGAGGATGCGACGGAAGATCGATACGAGATTGTTGCCGATGATTATCCTGATGTACATCATGAGTATGTCTTGGTAGATGGCCGCGGGTGGGCAGCGCTAATGATGCCCAGATTACCTCGATAGGAACAATATCGCTGCCGTTCGCCTAGCAGGTCTCCAGGATGAATTGGAACTCACCAGTGTGCAGTATCAGGTATACAAATGTTTGAGCTACGCCCAGAAAGCCAGTCACTGACTACCATAGACCACCGTCTCCATCCTTTTCGTCGGTTACATCCTCATGCAGATCCCGTCAAACCTGTTAGTAATATCCATGTACGAACTGTATGTGAGACAAATACTGACTTCGTACACTCATCTTTAGGTTCCTCAACAAGACCGGCAAGCCCGCCATCTATCTTCCCACGTGCATGATCATCTGGGGCATCATATCGGGTGCGACTGCTGCATGCCAGAACTTCGCAGGACTGGTGGTGTGTCGTTTCTTCCTGGGATTTATCGAAGCCGCATACTTCCCAGGATGTCTGTTCTACCTCAGCGCTTGGTACACGAGGAAGGAGCTGGGTCTGAGAACGGCGGTTCTTTACTCTGGAAGTTTGATCTCGGGCGCCTTCGGTGGGCTCATTACCGCCGGGATCACGAGTAATATGGATGGCACGCAGGGCTTGAGAGCGTGGCGCTGGGTGTTCATAATCGAGGTAAGTATCGTACGCGCCGAGCTGGATATCTGGGATGTTAGCTGATCCTTCAGGGTATCATTACCGTCGCGATTGCCTTTGGCGCCTTCTGGATCCTACCCAACTTCCCTCGAACAACTTCCTGGCTCACAGAGGAAGAACGCCAACTCGCCGTCTACAGGCTTCAGGAAGACGTTGGCGAAGACGACTGGGTCTCTGCGGAATCCCAGACCTTCTTCCACGGTCTAAAGCTTGCGTTACTCGATATCAAGACTTGGGTGCTTACAATCATGCTTCTAGCGAACGTATCCTCGGCCAGTGTTACCAACTTCTTCCCAACAGTGGTCAAGACGCTAGGATACCCAAACATCGAGACACTTCTGTTGACAGCGCCACCTTATGTTCTCGCAGTCATCACCACCTACCTCAACGCCTGGCATGCCGATCGCACCGGCGAACGATTCTTCCACATCGTCCTCCCTCTCTGCGTCGGCGTAGCAGCCTTCATCCTTGCCGCCGCTACGACCGCAACAGCACCTCGCTACGTCGCCATGATGCTGATGGTCCCTGGTGTATACACTGGATATGTCGTAGCTCTGGCCTGGATCTCCAACTCTTTGCCTCGCCCGCCAGCGAAGAGGGCGGCTGCACTGGCTTTCATCAACGCGATCAGTAATACGAGTTCGATTTATGCAAGCTACATGTATCCTCAGCCAAAGAGTGGTCCGGCGGATTTGACGGTTCCCCTGAGTGTGGATTGCGCAACTGCAGCACTGGCCATTATCATGGCGGTCATTATGCGCATTATACTGGGGCGACTGAACAAGAAACTTGCTCGTGGAGAACACGTTGAAGGCGCAATCAACGCTGTCCCTGGGGTTGGTGCCGAGAGAGGTTTCAGATTCTTGGTCTAGAGACTTGGGAACTGGAGATTGTAGGGTAGTGAGTTGGATATAGAGACGATTAGCAGGATTGTGCATCGATTGGTCCCCCTGTTTGACTTCTTTGCCACCCCCTTCTTCCGTCGCCTCACTGGATGACGACGCGTACAGGTGCTGAGACAACAGTTCCCCTCTTCATATTGCTTTTCCTCAGTGTCTCAATCAGAACTACTCGTGATACATGTGTGAAGGCTGGTGAGTGGCTGGACGCTGACTTGGCAAGATACTGGAAGGTTCCATATCGTCATCGGCCCGAACAAGGCTTAGCGTCTATCGCGAGCTTTGACCACCCAGGCAGCGCGTCGCGCGACGACTCACCACGTTTTATCGCAGCCCATCCCAGCAGCACATCATCCGTCGAGGATTCAGCAGCACATTCGTACGACACATCACTATCGGTCCGCTTCACCAGAGTTGCCAATACACCTTTCACTGCCGGGGACCATAGAGTGAACGGCTTGCGATAGCTAGCGTCACACTCTGTTAGCGCTCTGTGCACACACGATGCACCTCCACGCGACCACAGGAACAGCGCCGATTATTCAACGCAGACCTTGATCACTTTCGCGTCGGGAATCGCACAACATCAATCACTTCGATACTGTGTAACTTTCGAAGGACCAATCAATACCATCACTCAAGGCAACCACGCGTTGTCAGCTGACGCCACCCGCATATCTTCTGCAAACTTCAAAAGTCCAACTTGGAGATCAACCTCATTATGGATTTTTCAAACAGTGCCTTTAGGGCCATGCCAAACTCTAAAGTCTCCGACGACACCATGTCTCACGCAAATCTCGTAATGGCATGTCGATGGGGCTGGACGAGCACCCCGGACGAAGGAGCAAACAACCCCTTCGCCTCATCGTCTACCTCGCAACAAATACCCGCCTCTACCTTTAACAACATCCGGACCAAGCGTTTTGCGCCGTGCCAAGGTCGTCTCTATCACCAGCTACTCTGCTCTCACCGTATCAGGACGGACCTTGTCGAAGACTGTGGCGAAAACTGCATCGATCCATATGGCGATAGGGTTGACGCTGCTTTCATTTGTAATGAATGCGTCCAAGCCGAAGCAGCGAAGATCTGGGAGCAACGGCAAGCGGCGCACAACGCGACCTACCCTCCCATGGGGCAGATGAGTAAAGAGCAGTACGAGCAGTGGTATGCCGAGCACCGACAGCTCGAAGCAGAGTTCTCGCGCGACCAGCGAGTGTACGAGTTGGAAATCAAGGCTAAGACGCGACCGAGCAACATTTGCTCTGCGCTGGAAGCTAGCAAAGAGGAGATGGACTTTGCGACCGAGCTTGACACACTATCTCTTTCCTTGATGGCGTCGAATAACTCGAACGCCGAGCAAGCGTCATACCAGCCGCAAGGACGTACACGAACGAGTCTGGCGACAGATCCGGATGAGCAGCTTCATTGGAATTTGAACACGCTTGCTTTGGACCGTGGCGCGTGTGGTATTGAGTACTCGCAGCCGGGTAATGGGGTGTCTCCAACGCGGCAAATGGACCCGGAGGAGTTGTGGAGGAAGCCACGGAATTGAGAGTTCGCAAAGCAGTTGTGGTGGCATGTCACTTGTCGTGTTGATTAGCGATTGCATAAGTTTGGCGTCTGGAAAACTCCGCGCATGTGGAAATGTTTGTGTAGGACTTTCGTGTAAGCAACAAATGTCTTGTCTAGCAACTCTGCTATCTGAATGGACCATCTGTACCGCGTTTCCCAGTGGTGTGTATGACGCTGCGCAGCGACACGAAGATTGTGGTTCGATGTGGGGCGTAGTGATGTGTCAAAGCATTAGCACGACGCACACTGCCCCTCATGCGAAGAAAGCACACGTCCTGTGGAAAGACTGCTTGGCTTTGCCCTGATATGGCGTTCTAGGTCAAAAGGATCAGCGTCGAAATGGCTGCGGCATCCAAGTCACTTAGATTATAAATGTTGTATTTGAGAATTTCTCTATCGAAATATATTCGGAGCCTTGGCGCAATGGTAGCGCGTTGGTTTTCGGTCAGAAAGCATAAACACCAAAGGTACATTTCACCAATCACCTCCCATTCCAGCACCATCTAACAGTTTCTCAGGTTGTGGGTTCGATC